CGCGCAACACACGGTGGAACACCAGTTTGGTGAGAGTAAGAATTGTTTAATCAAACTATTATTTATAATATAAATTTAAAACTTAATTATTTAAAATTAAATAAAATTAAATATTCAATTAATTATAATAAATTAATTAAAATTATAAATAATTAAAAAAAATATTAAATTTTTATAATAATTAATTATAATTTAGTAACTTTTTATATTGAATTTTAAAACACTTTAATAAATTATTCGAAGTTTTAGTAATTAATTTTATATTAATTGATTTAATAATTTCAAATTATTCGCGCGCAGGCGGAGGGGGGACGGGCGCAGGTTCGAATCACTGGAGCTCCCACAGCGGGTTCGCGTAGCGGGACAGAAGCGGGGTTCGCGCGCAGGTGGAGCGGGGTTCGCGTGCAGGCGGAGCGGCAACGGGAGCGGGGTTCGCACGCTGCTAACTTTGCCAAGCCTTTCAACATTTCATGTGATACCTCTTGGATAGGCATAAGTGGAGTACTCAATGATAAAAATAATTCAATTGCTTGTTTTTAACAAAAAATCAAATGATACCAAGCAATCTTATTCTATTTATGATAAGGAATTCCATGTCATCATCCAATCTCTTAAACACTATAGACAATGCATATTACATAATAATTTTTTCTATATATTAACCAACATGCCCTTAATTCTATCAACACCTTAAAAAAAAAAATTAATTGAAGGCATGCAAAATGGAATCATTTTGCCAAGAATATTTTTCATTTGGCAACACAAACCAGATACTAAGAACAAAGTTACTAATACCCTTTCATGACCTTCGGTTTAGGGTGTAGGTTCAACATCTGGACTAACCTTTTATGACCCGATTAGAAAAAGACACAAGAAGAGTATTTAGGGAGGAAGAAGAGGATTTTTCAGCCTCTTTGGGCCGTTTTCAACTGTCGACCCAGTTAAAAAAGTTGTCCATATCGAGGTATGTCACATTATGATTATCTTAATTTTCAAAAATATAAAATTTTACCAAATTTTTTGATTAAATTATATTTCTTTTAGCGAAAAATGCATATAACTTTGCACTAAAAAATCTTTTTCCCCATCACTTTTTATATGTTATAGAGATTACGATTATGAATGTTTTGAATATTTTATGAAAATTTTATACCAGTTATCTTGGAATCTATGTGATTTTAATAAAATAACAAATAATCATGGCACCAAAAAATAATGTAATATTACAAGAAATGTTTTAAAATAGCATTTTACATAATCTTTTGTAATTTGGTTATGTTCTGACATCGTAAAAATTTGATTAGTATAAATTTTTGTTGTCTAATGTTATAGAATATTATGAAATTCTGACATGTGTTAAATTTTGATTCAACTATTACAATGTAATGAAATATATACTTATGTGAAGAAATGTATACTTATATGATTAAAAAACATATACTCGAAGCTATAAGGAAACATAATTCTTTGAGATCATATCTGTGTTAGAGAATATTCTAGTGTTTTTAAGATATGTTCTGGTGGTTATAATATATATTTTGGTGCCTACGGGCATGTTCTGGTGCTATAAGCACAAAAGGGAGTCATAAGGCTTCAGAATCCTTTGAGATTCTTTCTAAGTTCAGGGAGTGCTATATGTACAACTCTATGATATGAATTACAATTTATTTATTTGCTCAATAATGTTATTTAAATAATTGAATAATGGTTATGCTCCCATTATATTTCTCAGTATAATGATTTATTAGATTTTATTTAATTGCTTTTAAATATGATGCAAAACTTAATAAAAAAATTTAGAAATTTAGATCGGATGGTGTGGCCTGATGAGCTGCTATAATTCATTTTGATTTTGCTTCTAATTTTTAGGATCTGTGAAAGTGAAGAATAATATTGATTAATAGTTCAGGATCAAATATGAGGTTATGGGTATTTCTTTATTTTAATTTTTGTATAATTATTACTAGTTTATTATTTAGTTACGTAACTTTTTCATATAGTCATGTATGGTAGTGTAGATACATTTTGATGAAATGAAATAAATCTTATAGATAAGTTTATTTTTAATATTTGAATGTGTTAGTAGTTTTGTAGTATGTAGTTTTATTTAAAATAAAATTAGAAGATAATATGAAACATTTGAAAATTAGATATTAGGATTTACCTGGCTCAACTCAACATAATTGGATCTATCCTGATCAGGTTGGGGTGTGACAAGCTTTTGTGGTATCAGAGTAATAGTTTTGGAATTGAATCCTAAAACAGATATATAGGAATTGATTTATAAGTCTAGTGGGATAGTTTAAAATCTGTCTGAGTGTTCATTATTTTTGTTTCATGTGCCTGTGTGTCCAGTTACATATTTTATGTCATTATGGATCCACCATACCTATATATGATAGAAGGACATAGTGTTAGTTAAGCAGCTACTAAATATAATACTGCCTTATAGTTAGTTTAGATACACTTTCGTAGTTTGCTACTTTGATAGCTATGATGACGGGTGAGGCACATAGCAATGTTCCTTATGTGAGATCTGAATATGTAAACAAACATCTATAGATACTTTGAGATTGAATCCTCCGAGATTTGAGGGTACTATTGAGCCCAAAGTAGTAGAGGACTGGTTAAAGAGGCTCGAAAAGAATTTGATGGTATGTAGTGTCCTTCTAAGAAGAATATACCATTAGTAGTCTTTCTAATAGATGATGAGGCAGAGCACTGTTGTATGGGTGAGTAGGAGGAGAAATTTTTGGGAAGATTAAATTCTCTGATTAGATGAGAGCAGTTCTCATATGTGTTTAGAGCCTGGTTTGTACCACCTTATGCACAACAGTAGATACAGGAGACTTTTCTGAGATGAATTCAACATAGTATGAAAGTTATACAATAAGAGGCAAAGTTTACTACTTTGGCTAGGTATACTCTATAATTAATTAGCACTCCCATGAAGAAGTGCTACAAATTTTTTTTGAGGACTTCAAGATTTTTAGTGACAACCACTAATACCATTTCACATTTTTTGTTTTCTTAACTTGTGGATAGAGATCATCTGATAGGGAATGATCTGATGGCCACTCCATAACTGTGAACTGCTATTAGGAATATGTTCAATGGTGAGACATCTAGCAATTAGTTTTACTGGAAGAAGAGTAAATTTATACTTGGAGATTTCAAGAGAGGTGGACAGTTAGTATCTAAAAGAACCTTTAATAGTGACATCATAGCCAATTTTGTTTTGAATAGTGGGGCACCTATATGCCAAAGTTATGGTATATGTCATTTTGGTCAGCGTTATATGATGAGTAGATAGTGCTTTAGATGCAGTCAGGAAGGCCACCAGATAGTGAGTGTCTACAGGCAGGATTTAACTAACATTTTGAGCCCAGATCTGAGAGTTCAATTAGATTAGTAGGGAGACCAATGATAGTTTTGATTTGTACCTTTATTGAGAGTTTTACTGGTAGAGGTAGTGGCTATAATTTAGTTGCAGGTAGGCCATCTAGTAGTGGTTAGAGAGAGTCTGATATTATTATTATTACAACTACAGTTCAGTTATGTGTGTATAGTTTGACTCAGTAGGAGACTCGAGA